AAGATTGTGATTGTGTTTACGTTGGTCAGACATCACGCGCACTAAAAACAAGCGTGAAAGAACACAAAGGTCATAGCAACGTTGGATGAAAACTGTTTGTTGGCCAAACACCGTATGCTTCACAGTCACCAAAGAGAGTGTTGAAATTGTTGACAGGTCATCGGTGTGGCGAGAAAGACTAATTCTTGAAGCTTGGCATTCCATGCAAGATAGAAACGCCATAAACGAACACATAACATGACGAGCTTTGCTCAAGAAAAGAATTCTCACCAGGGATGCGTAAAATGATCCATAGGCTTGTCAAAGTAAAGCGAGAGGGCTCAATTAGCAAGTGAAAGCGAGGTGTTTGGCTTCAAGCGTGAAATTAATTGAAGTTAACAATTAAAATGTAAACAGGCGCGAGGATCCGCGCGGCTTGCGCGTTAGGAGTGCTACGTAAATTTAGGACTCTTTTGCACAATTTCCTCTTTAGAAATAACTACGCATTCATGGCATGAATGGCAATTTGCATAATTGTAGAATGATTCAGCGATAAGAACAGCTTAGCTAAGCCGTAGTGTGTCATGGCATTTGAGGATAGCCTGGTTGTAGTGCGTGACATGACTATCAAGTAACAGTTGTTGTACCCAGCATGTTTTGTCCGTGATCTACAGATCTATTGGTTTGTGACGCAAAGAGCGATTATCTGTTCTGTCACGACAATACCAAAATTAAATTGTGTTAGCCAACTTATATTTCACTCTGATCAGACCTTTGACTCTAAGTCAGCATGGAGGCCGGTGAGCCGCTCGGTAAGGACCTTGTTTTCAAGAGAGATTTCGACTGCAGTATGTTCTGGAGATACAAGAGTATCATTTAACACTTGAAACGATTGGGTAGATATTTTGATAATACTTTTCTGGCGTCCATACTAAGGAGCTCTTTCAGTATAAAATATCATTTTAGTAAGTCCCAATCATCAGGTAAGCGCGGGAACTTATCCCGCGAAAATTCTGTGCGAAGGTACGAGTGTATTCGGCGGTATCTGCGAAAAGGGGCCATCGTTCTTTCCTTAAGGTAAGGTCTTAACTGTGTATTACTTCGCGAGGAAGAAATTCTACTCGCTGGCCTGTCCAATTTGGCTTTTAGGTAAGGTTGTATGCCTGATAATTTCCGTCTAGAGCTATATGATGACGCGCGATAAATCTCGCTGCTTAATAACCTTTGAGCGGAAAATGATGATGCCCAAACCATTTAATCAGCAAAGCAAGGTTTACCTTTACTTCTGTGCTTTCGAAGCAAGAGAAGGAATTATTTCTGTGATAGTCAGGTGACAGATGCTTAAAATCACATGGTGTATTATCCAACTGTTGAAACCTAACGTGAGCCAGATTAACTAATTATGGAATGAACCCTGACATCAGAGCTCAAATATTCCTTCCCTATAAGATGACGCACTCTTAGCAGGTTAGTGTGTTTTCTTACTAATCGTACTGTACTATTTCGCAGTTTCGAAAGCAGAATCCTAAAGATGCTCTCGTTCTTTTGTTATTTCTTACCCACTCTCTCGGGTAATCAGTCTTTAGTTCCCTGACTTATCTCCGTGAGGGAAGAACCTTCATTTTTTTATTTTTTTCCCGGTTTTATCATTCGTATGTGAGTTGTTGTTTTCTGAAGGCAGAACCTTTCCTTTTTTTTCACCTGGTTCTGTCTCTCTTGGGTAGTCAGTCCTGTTTGGGCTGTTGTTATCTGAAGGCAGAACCTTTCCTTTTTTTTCCGCCTGGTTCTGTCTCTCTTGGGTAGTCAGTCCTGTTTGGGCTGTAGTTATCTGAAGGCAGAACCTTTCCCTTTTTTTCACCTGCTTCTGTCTCTCTTGGGTAGTCAGTCCTATTTGGGCTGTTGTTATCTGAAGGCAGAACCTTTCCCTTTTTTTCACCTGGTTCTGTCTCTCTTGGGTAGTCAGTCCTATTTGGGCTGTTGTTATCTGAAGGCAGAACCTTTCCTTTTTTTCACCTGGTTCTGTCTCTCTTGGGTAGTCAGTCCTATTTGGGCTGTTGTTATCTGAAGGCAGAACCTTTCCCTTTTTTTCACCTGGTTCTGTCTCTCTTGGGTAGTCAATCCTATTTGGGCTGTTGTTATCTGAAGGCAGAACCTTTCCTTTTTTTTTCACCTGGTTCTGTCTCTCTTGGGTAGTCAGTCCTATTTGGGCTGTTGTTATCTGAAGGCAGAACCTTTCCCTTTTTTCACCTGGTTCTGTCTCTCTTGGGTAGTCAGTCCTATTTGGGCTGTTGTTATCTGAAGGCAGAACCTTCCCCTTTTTTTCACCTGGTTCTGTCTCTCTTGGGTAGTCAGTTCTATTTGGACTGTTGTTATCTGAAGGCAAAATCGTTCCTTTTTTTATTTGGTTCTGTCTCTCTTTGGGAGTTGTTTCAATTTAGACTGTGTGTTTTCATCTTATGACAAACTAATTTTGAGTATGAATTGCGACATAATTAAATTTACTTGACTTAAATTTTTTTCCTTTGCAGATTTCATTGAACGTTAACCGCGAAAAGTCGTGATGAAAAAGCAATGTTTGTTTTCATAAAAAAAGATAGTTTTCCTGTTGAGATGACTAACCAAATAAGTGCACGTTCCGTTGACTGGTAATTTTTACGTCGATGTTGTGTTTGCCTTGGTGGTGTCTGTCCTCAAATCCCGTGATGTTTCAATTAAAAATAAATAACGAGTTTAGGAATAAAATTACCAACGAGTAAAATACCTCTTCTCGTAACATATTAAATTGTATTTACATTTCCAACTCTTGCTTCAGACACGAGATGTAAAATCGGTCATAGATTGTAAAAGAGATTTGTGAGTAAAGAACTTTTTCTACTTGTCCTTTTTTATTTTCTCGCAGCCTTATACAAGAGGTTCGCTATCACGAAAAAGCTTTCGTGTTTCTCTTGCTTTAATTGTTGTGAAACGTAGCTTCACACTCGTCGAGGATATGTAGTTTCGTGTAAAATCCCTATTTGAAAAACTCTCACAAAATTGCAAAATTACTTCTGGGCTCTTTCAAGTTTCATGGATAGAAGAACAATCACATGTGAACCTTCTACATTCTAAGGTTTTGAAAGAACCAAATGAAAGATAAAAAACATGCGATAAGTTTCGCTTTGAATCACAACTACGGCTACTCGGGCCTCGGGCAGTATTTTCAAGACCTCGGTCACAGTTTTTCACCATACGGACCTCCCAGCCGGCAAATAACATATATATATTTCTCAAGGAGTAGTTTTCTCTTAATCCTGGTTTATCGTAGTGTTTGTAGTATTCGTTAGTTACCTTTATTCTGGTGCTTTTGAGTACTCAACAAATAACGCATTTGTCGGCAATCAGCCGAATCACATTTCAGGAAGCAGTATAGCAAAGTTTTAGAAACATGTCGCGCCAAATCATCCTAAATTTGAAGGATTCAACGAGAGATTTGATCAGAAAACTGGTAAAATACGAGAGAAACACTAATCTGTAACGCTTCAGTGAAAAATAAGTGTTACTGCTTCCGAGAGAAGCAGCGAAATATTTTCTGGTTAGATTGACACCTCCGTGATTAGTTTCTTTTAGTAGAAAATTATAGGTAGCGTTTCAGTTCAGGATGAGACCCCGTGTGATCAAGGTCGTTTTTTGAACAGATGACAAGCTAGACCGTTATCCTCGACATAGTAATCAAAACCCGCGAACGTTGGTGAGCAATTACTTGTTGTGTGATTATGTTACCTCGTAGTTGTGATTCAAAGCGAAACTTATCGCATGTTTTTTATCTTTCATTTGGTTCTTTTAATTGCCATGTGCTTGTTTCCAAAATTGGGATTTTTCGTAACTATGATCACACAATACTTAGGTAATTTCTTCACGTAATGATTTCAGTTGACCGCTTTGATATAATAACCCCTCAAGGAATAGGAATAAATAAAGAAAAGATCCTATATTAATGGGGGGGGGGGGGACCGCATGCGCGGCATATTGACACAGATTGAAGATGAAATGCATGAGAGATTAATCTTGGAGCTTTCAATATGCAAAAGCCGTGATGTTAACTTTTTTGGATCAATATCAGTATCTGGGTACCTACCCCTCCCTTAACCCAACAGTAACCCTAACTTGTTATCAATTGACTGTTGTTGAGTTAGGGAGGCGTAGGTGGGCAGTTGCCCAGATACTGATATTGATCCACTTTAACTGTGTGGTTCTGCCCAAATGGTTATGCAAAAATACTTTCAGCTGTGCTGATCCTGTGCAATACCAAATACAATATTTAACTTCAAAAGCATCTGGTTTGAAAAACAGAATCCTTGTGTGAGAAATGGCTAATTTTCGTGTGATTTCAAGTGGCAAAAATCAGTTTCTGCTTTAGGTCACATTCAGTAGGAAGACTTAAATTGTTCATAGGCCAAGGTTAATTCATTCCGATGCAGATTTTTATTGCTTCGTTATTCCCACTGTTACCCACCGACCGTTGTTTGGAAAGAAAAGATCCTGATAACTTCTGTCTGATTGTACGTAGTTTGCTAATTTCAGGAAAATATCGACAAGTGTGACTTACGCGCAAACAATATCTATAGATCGTGTTTAGTGTTGTATATTTTAACAACGTCTACCTCTGCTAATAACTATTAGTAGATGTTTCATGGATTGTGCTGTTGTTGATATTAGTGGTTGTATTATGCTTCTCTTGTTGCTGTCAGTGCCGGTGGTTGCTGCAGCTTTCGTGTTTCTCTTGCTTTAATTGTTGTGAAACGTAGCTTCACACTCGTCGAGGATATGTAGTTTCGTGTAAAATCCCTCTTTGAAAAACTCTCACAAAATTGCAAAATTACTTCTGGGCTCTTTCAAGTTTCATGGATAGAAGAACAATCACATGTGAACCTTCTACATTCTAAGGTTTTGATTTATTTACGATGAAACTTGTTAACTCAATGGTAAAAATTATATCTGACACGAATAATTTTTTCATAGGCTGTTCCTTAAACATAAATTTCATGGCTGCAACCTCTGCGTCAGTTGCGTCCACTAAAGAGACCACCAACTATGCAAGGCTATGCCGCCTCCTGATGGATGTTGTATGTCAGGTGCTTCGGTCCACCTTTGACAAAATACATCCGCCAGCGACTCTACATACCGTTTTGGGAAGTACCTCAGTGCATTACGCCACATTGCAGTCACTGTACAAAGGGAAGAAGAAGAAAGTACTGAATCCCACGCAATGGGGGAAGTTGTACCCTACTCACTCACCCGTGTCATCTGCAGCCTTCGATATCACACTTCTAACAGTGCTTCTTAGAAATATCAGTGGTTTGGGCCCTCCTGCCAATGGATGGGATCGTCTTCCCCTAGCTGCAAACATAAGCGTCGCAGATGACATCTCCAGAGTTAAATATTACAGGAACACTGTATACAGCCATGCTTCTCAAACCTCTGTGGATGACAGTAGTTTCAGTGCTTTCTGGCAGGAAATACGACAAGCTTTGGTGAGACTGGGAGGAGCTCATTTTAGAGCTGAAATCGACAATCTTGAGCACGACTGCGTGGATCCAGATATCGAGGAGCATTGTCGTGAACTGATGAAACAATGGAAGAAAGACGACGACAGCATCAAAGACAAGCTCGAAGAAATTGAAGGTAAGAAAAACATTGTCCAATGCCAATATAGATGAATCAGAAGGCTAAAAAAGTAAATATTTTCAGTTAACATGACAGTGTAAGGTAGTTCATGATGTTTTCATTTTGGTCGGAACGACTCATACTTGGAACGTTATTCTAGCGTTATGTGTGAAAAATGAAGAAATAACCCACATGTCGACATCCTGTTTTCATTGGCAGTATTTTTGTCTGTTTGTGGCTACTCGTGTACAACTGCTGGAGTGCATTTCTGAGATTTCTAAGCGTCTACTTGAGTTTGATCTATTCGGAATCGACTAGATATCGATATACGTATCATCATTTCACCTGCGCCTTAACGTGAGGCTCTGATATAAATATGCTCATGAAATTGCGCATACCTTTCGAAATTTTCAGATTCGCTGGAAAACATGAGAAGCATTATGGAGAGAAACTTCAGAGACACAACTGACAAGATAGAGATTGAATTGAAAGAGGTGAGAGAAAAACCTAGTAGTTTGACGGCCTCGATTGAAAAACGCACACAAGGTTAGTTGGTAGAGAGATATCACAGAAAAAAAAATTATTAAGAGCGACACAGCTCACAAGATACTTTTTAATGTGTGGGATACCACGAAATGTGAGGTTTTCTGCCCTGGCTACCCCTCGGATTTGATAGTGTTTTGACAGCACTCATACATATGTATGATCGTAGCCAAGATATTTAAGTTTTACTGCCCTTGCGTGAGGAGAAGGATCTGAGTGTAGTTATCTCGGACAAACTTACCTGGGACTCACATGTTCACCTGATACAGCGAAAGTAAACAAACTTTTAGGTCTGCTGAAGAGATCATGTCATTGTTAACTAAAGTGGCAGTAAGAAGGTCCTTATATTTAGCGACTGTGAAGCCTCACCTTTGTTACGCTACTGAGGCCTGGTCTCCTGCTCACAAGTCACTAAAAGCTAAGGTTGAGCAAGTTCAGAGACGTGTCACCAGATGGATTTTAAGTTTGAAGCCAGGCCAGATGTCATATGGGGAGAGACTGCTCGCCTTGGATATGCTGCCTCTTGCATACGATAGAGAAATCAAGGATCTTGTTTTCTTTTACAAAGCTGTTTACAGACACATTGATATTGACGTCTCTGATTACGTAACTTTTAACAACCATCCACGTACACGCCGTAGTCAGTCTGCTGGCTGTTATCTTACCTTTCCGGCCTATAACACCAGCACTTTGCAAGCTTCATATTTTGTCCGTACTGTAAAACTGTGGAACAACTAATGCAATGAAACCTTCCCTGGTGGATTTACCTGTCTTAGCTGCTTTAAATAATTTTTGAAGAATTTGTATAAATCTCTTTTAATGAATATCTTTTATGGGAACATGGTCTGCTCATGGTCGGTGTCTCGCGAATGTTCATGTCACTGACTGAATATATATATATATATATATGCGCGAAATTCAGAGTCACAGAGAATCGATGCGTCCTCTTTAATTCTTTAACTTATGTATACTTAGCTCTGCTACCAGAGCATTGATCACTTTATGCCAAGGTAGACTCTACCCTCACATATATATATATATATATATATATATATATATTTAGAGAGAGAGAAGAGAGATGGGGAAAACAACAGAGACTATACTTTCATCCCTGAAAGTATAGTCTCTGTTGTTTTCCATATCTCAATATATATCACGCTCCACTTCTACGTATCGAGCATTGTACAACGGAAAAATCAGAACACAGACTTCAAATACATACATACATATATATATATATATATCTTTATTTATGTATTTTATTTTTCATTTATCTTTCACATTTTTAAAATTATTTTGATTACATTTACTTTTGATTACAGGGATTCCGTTAACTTGAGTACATAACACGTCTTTTGAGCATGACCACATTATTCGCTTGAAATCAGCAAATTTAACATACTTTTAGATAGTGTAATGTTGTTAGGGCACACCTTGGCTACCAACCTACTCTGGCTACAAATGAAGATACTGGGTAATGTGTGGGATGAATGGGATGGCATGGAATCTAAGGCTATCTCCTGGATTCGAAAGTTTTCTGACAGCACTTCTACACATTTAGCCGAGAAGGGTTATTGTCTTATTCTAGTCTTACTTTTGTTATGGACTTAATGAATCTAAATTCCTAGACCGTTAGATGTGACCTGCATATTGTTGAAGAAATAAATGTAATCCTTCCTCCACTCGTAATTTTCTGTAGAGCGTTCCATTTTACATGGAAAAATCGCTGAATGAGGGTCGTCTTAGTACAAAGGGGTGGATAAGGTGCATGTGGTTATTTTACTTTTCCCGAGCGAAAAACTGTGAACGAAACTTCACAATGCATTGCAGGCGGACCTCTGGTTTGTTCCAGCGTTTTTATTTTTCTATGATTAAACGACGTGAAAACGAGAGCGGAAAAGCGTTCTTTGGTTTTTGTTACTTAGTTCTTACAGTGTCGCTTTTTACCGACAAAAATCTTACTCAGACTATCGGCTCCAATTTATCAATATTTATCTCCCGAGTTTTACTATCAGAACCCGCTGAAGCCGAGCCATAATTATTTTAGAATGTTGTATAAAAAAAACAACAACAACAACAACAACAGAGGAAGGGAAAAGGATCTGTTTGGTTAACTTTTAATAAATAAAGTGACTCACTCGGACAAAAAGTTCCAATGTTATGGGTCTCTTGAGAAAATGATGGGCGAAATGGCAAAGATGGACAGGGAAGTGAAAGAAGTGAAGGAAAAGCTTTGACAGCCCCAGTGGGAGAAAGGAAGGATGAAGTTCAGTTGAATTATACAATAAAACAATAAAAGTTATCCTGCTTAACCGCAAATTTTGTCGTTGTAAGCATGTCCTGTATGTGAAAGAGAGAGATCATCCTATCTCAAAGAGATTCAGTTTTTCAATTTAAACTATCTCTGGAATAGGCTCTGCGGTGAGCTTTCATTCCCTTTAATTATTTAAACTTTCACCCGAAATTAGCCTGGAAACATTGTATTTGAAGAGCCGTTTTCGCCTGTTCTAAGCCATCAGGTGATAAAATCTCCGTGACTTGGAGATTCAGTGAGAGACACACTTATCAGAATGGAGAACGAAATAAGAAGAAATCACAGTTTTAACGAAAACATCGGCATTAAGTTCAGCTCGATGTTAGAAGCTAACAAAGTAAGTTCGATTGCGTTTATAATCTAAATGGCTTTTGGTCAGTAAAGTGACGTGAATCATTCATTGGTACCTTTTTCATTGTCCAAGTAATTTCTTAGGCAACGGTGTCGTACTCGTTCACTTACTAAAATTCAGTGCCGAATACCAGAGAGAGAACACACTTTTTAACGCCGCGGTCATTGGATTTCTTACTTATTTTGCTACTATCAGGTATTTTTGATCCAACTGAGCTTATCAATGGAATTCGGCAGCTATACAAGACTCGCGAGGGATGGCTCTCACCACTTCCATGGTGTGAAGAGTTTCAGCTTTTTCTTGGCAGTATTTTTACAAGGCTCAAAGTGGTTAGAAGAAAGAAAACGAGAGGGGAAATGATTGACGTACTTGTTGACATGTCGTCCATACTAGACCCGTATGAAGAGTGTTCAGCGCCGAGAACAGTGTTGATTGAAGGAGAACCTGGCATAGGAAAAACCACTTATTGTAAAAAGTACGCCTACGACTGGGCCACAAAAAAGCAAGAACCTCAGGGCTGCAGCTCAAAAGCATTAAAAGCAGTATTGTTGCTGAAATGTCGAGACATCGATTCTGATGTTTGGGAAGCCATTGACAATCAGCTTCTGCCTCGAGACATCGATGAAGAAGTCAAACAACAATTCTTTCAGTTTATTCGTGAAAATCAGTATAACTACATCCATTGCTGAGGCAATCAAAGTTAATCAGATGCTAACCAATTTGGGTTTGTCTCGCAATGCTATTAGTTTTGCCAGTGCTACATCTATTGCTGAGGCAATCAAAGTCAACAAGACGCTAACCCATTTGAATTTGTGGTCCAATGGTATTAGTAATGCCGGTGCTACATCTATTGCTGAGGCAATCAAAGTCAACAAGACGTTAACTGACTTGGATTTCCATGGCGATGGTATTGGTGATGCAGGTGCTACATCTATTTCTGAAGCAATCATATCAAACTTTGGGTTGGGATTTTGCTAACAATGGCACGATTTTTTAATCCTTTTATGGGCATTGTCATTGTTGACAGCTTTGAGGCTCTTTTGTTATAAGAACAAAGGTTTGAAAGAACCGACGCGTATCCGATTTCCGAGCGCGAGATTCAAAAACTTCGTTAATGACCTGAATGTGACAAAATCTTTCTTTCTCGGGGTGGGCTTAGGGAGAAGTTGTCTAGAGCAACGGCAAACTTGCCGGCGGACGGAAGGGTAAATTTGTTACATGGAGAGCGGGCTGTCGGCTGTGTTAAGTTCTCTCCTTTTTCCCGCAAATAAACGCAAAATTTCGAGGTAGAGAAAGGACGACAGTTTGTATCTTAAAATACGAATGGAATATGCTACACAACTATCGTAAAAGAAATCGAAACTAAGCGAAGGTACAAGTATTTTTAATTATTTTTGCTGGCCTGTTGTAATGCGCGCCAAACAAGTTGCGAGAAAGCTGTCTGTCTCAAGCGAAGAATTAAAAAGCGTCATAACCAATTATATTTGAAATATCTACTGTTAGAGCGGTTTATTGTCACAATAAAACCCCTTTCAGTGCATCAAGACCTTGAAAGTATTCAAAGCTTTTTAAACGCTTTCATAGTATTGTGTATTGTCTTATGGGCTTTGTCGCGAATTTGATCGTCAACAAACCATTAATTGATGACTTTTTTTCTTTCCGTGAAGAAGCGCGCTTGCTTGAAGAAGCGGCTGGGCAGCCTTCAAAGGTTCTAATATAGACTTTTATTCAGATTGTTGTGGGAATAACTGTGCGAATTGCCTATGTATACAATTAAACAAACTTTGTTTCCGTCCCGAAACATCTTTGAAAGCGTCTTTGAAATTCGCGCTCAGTTGACACCAATTGTTCTCTAGTTTTCATGAATGCCCTTATTATGCTAATGACAGGTTTTAAAACTGACGCGCGTGCCACTTGCAATTGACAACAATCATTTCGCTCTCGTCATTGGAAAAGAGTTATCTGAAAATAGTCATCGGAAAAGATCGGTTTAAAGTTGTTTAAAGTCTTAAAATGTTTTCGAAGTTCAAAGTAGACAAGCCACAAGCAAACGTCCTCTACAAACGTGGCCCAAGGAATTTCGAGGTAGAGCAGTCTGTCCTCTCTTTGCCCCTTCTTGAGGGGTACGACCAACGCATTCGCCATTTGCACGAAATCGTCAGTGACCAGGCGACGGAATTGGAAGAAAGAAGGGCAGAAGTTTTTCAGCTTCGCCAGGAACTCCAACTTCTAAGAAATGAGCTTGCCCAAAGTCGTCACCCTGTAAAGAACGCTGTGAAGTTTAACGTTAGCCGAAAAAACTATTGGGACGTAGACAAGTCTTCGCGGTCTATGAAGAGGAAAAAAATTAGAGAGTACCTCCGAAATGCCACAGATATTTTGCCAGCGGAATTCAAACCGATTGAAGTACGTATCATTACGAATTTTTCTTTATCACTAAGTTTTTAGGGGTGGTGAATGGTCTTTGAAGGTCTAGCAAAAATTTGGTCAAATTTTGCGGGTCTCGCAATGTATTTTTTTCGGCGGTTCTCAACGTCTCGCAGTCTCATATCTTTAAGCTTACATGATCATGCTGGGGGCAAAATCGCAAATCAAAGGTTGAAAACAGTCTCGATCCAAGAGAAAAACGTTGCATTCACCATTCGTCACCCCTAGTTTCACATTGGTCAATCTTTTTATTAAGACCTCATGCGTCTAATGGCTCAACGAGAACGGATGATAAATCTTTTCATTAACAATGTTTATTCAGTGTCATAAGCAATCTGTGTGATAGCGCTGAAATATTATAAGCCAGTCGAAAAATTTACTGTTTATTTTTCTGAAATATAAACTCTTCATTGAACATGCATAGTGTAGGCAGGGACTAGGGACTTACCAGGGCTTACTGCCAATAGATACCGACTTCTGGTTATTTTAAGGCAAAATTTATTTTAGCTGTATCGCAAAAAAAATTTTTGGACGTGACGTATGTAGTGTGCCCACGGTATGACTTTTAGAAGAAACCGCTGAAAACATGGCGGCATCTCGGTACACGTACTGACAACAAAACGGCGCTGTATATTTCTAACTGGATGGTTAAAAACGTCGGAAAAAACACTTGGATTCCTGCTCGCCACCACTTATTTCTTCTTTTTTTTGTGTTGATTATAATAACGTAAACTTATTCCAGCGCGAAGACGTCTCCGTTTTCTTCCAACCCAGGAACCAAAAAAAATTAGAGACGTCTGTACAAACAGGCTTCGCATTTAGATGTTCTGTTCTTTTTTCGCACAGATTAAATTTGACGTAAGCGAACGGGAACTGGTGATCCCACTTTGCGACGGCCAACATGACCACGAAGACGAGGGTTACTCTCACGAGGTTGTCCAAAGAATTTTAGCGGCGAAGGATGAGGGGCTTGTGAGCGATAAAGCCTACCATGAATTGAGGATGGCGCTCCCCGAAAGTGTCCGAAGTCACGTCCCGCCACTGTCAACAATATTGCAGGAAAGGAGGACACAAAATAAAGAAATCGAAGTAATTCCAATTCCAGAGGTAAATTATTTTGTTGGTAAACTTATATTACACTCGAGGCAGTTATAGCTTTTTAAAGTACGATGTAGGTGGCTCCCCACAGTAAGTTTTACAGGATGACAAGCGGAAGCCATATAATTTCTTATGCATAAGGGTTTGTGTTCCTGGCATTCACGCTGATTTATCAACAACAATCCAAGATTTTTTATTTTGATCATTTGTGTGAGTCAAAGGTGCTATGGCAACAAGCATTGACTTCCAGTGAGGGCAAAAAGCTTTGCTGAAAGTGAAAAACATTCAGTCAGCACATTTGCCAAAGAAAACAATTTTAAATCATATTTAACTAAGCCTATGTTTAATCTTTGGTGGGTATAAGATTAGTCTCTTATGATGTTGTAACAATTTTTTCTGATTGTGTCAAATACTTATTAATTACTTTTTTGGGGTTTTGAATTAATGCAGGCCAAGCAAGGTGATGGTGCCCGTAGAAGTGTTTGCGATGTTCTGGAATATTTAATCACTATACCCGAAGTCAAAGAGGCCATCAAGAAAGATGGTTCTAAAATCAAGCTCCGATTTGCGGCGGATGGGAGGCGAACCAGCAGAAGAATCGGCACCGTGAGGCAGTTTTTAACATCTTGTGTGAGAACAAAGCCACGTATGAATACCAATATACCCTGGCATTGTACAATGGTAAGTGCATAGATCTTAATGTCTACACTGTTTCGTTTTTCATAAAACTATAGTAAAATGAAAAATGATATATTACATGTACATATTAGATGGAAAGCTCCAAGCATCCTATTTGGGCAGTGTGTGAAGTCTTAAAATAACTGTGACTTTTTTTTTTAACTGGTATTCCGCAGCATAAAAGGGCAGAAAAACACCGAAGCTCCTTTCTTCATAATTTTTCATGCTAAACTTGCCATTTTAAATCAAAACTAAAAGGGTTACATTTGTGTTAACATGGGCCAACAAGTACTGTAAAAATTTTTCATCTTTACTAAACCTACTCAGGAATATTTGAGAAAACAATGTTTTTTGCTGGTCAAAATCTCACCCCTCCCAAAAGTAGAGGGCCTAAAATCTCAAGGTTTGCATTCAAAAAATTTTGGTCCCATTTAAAACTTTGTTCTTTAGTCCTTAAAGGGCTTGTATGCAAAATATTGAGCTTATATTTATCCAGGAGTAAATAGTGTCAGAAAAATTCTTAATATGTTTATGAGTCTGAGCTCCTTGTCACAGTCAATTGACCATCTCCATCATTCCACAGGTAAAGAGGACTATGATGAATTAAAAGCTTGTCTTGGACAAACGTTTGAAGAAATTGATCAACTCAAGACAACAGGAATCACAATTGATGGGGAACATTTTGATATTGAGTGGTGAGTGTTGATTTTGTTACAAGATGTGATAATCATCTTTCCATAAGCCTGGATGTTTATGGCTGAATTCTTTACATTAAAACAAGACGCTCACCAAATTGAATTTGTCTCACAATGATATACCTGATGCCAGTGCAACATCTATTGCTGAGGCAATCAAAGTCAACAAGACAATAACCAAGTTAGATTTGTCTTTCAATGAGATTAGTGATGCCGGTGCTGCATGTATTGCTGAAGCCAAAAAAGTCAGCAAGACGCTAACTGATTTGGATTTGTATCGCAATGGTACTAGTGGTGCCGGTGCTACATCTATTACCGAGGCAATCAAAGCCAACAAGACGCTAACCGTTTTAAATTTGACTGAGAACCGTATAAGTAATGCCGCTGCTACATCTATTGCTGAGGCAATCAAAGTCAACAAGATGTTAACTGACTTGGATTTCCATGGCAGGTGTGTTAGTGATGCAGGTGCTACATCTATTGCTGAGGAAATAAAAGTCAACAAGGCCCTAGCCGTTTTGTATTTGTCTTACAATCGTATTAGTAATGCTGGTGCTCAATGTATTGCTAAGGCAATCAAAGTCAACAAGACGCTAACATATTTGGATTTGCCTGACAGTGATATTAGTGATACCGGTTCACTTTCTATTCTATTTCTATATTTGGATTTGTCTGACAGTGATATTAGTGGTACCGGTTCTCTTTCTATTGCTGAGGCAATCAAAGTAAACAAGACGCTAACCGTTTTGAATCTGTCTCGCAATAGTATTAGTGAGGCCAGTGCTACATCTATTGCTGAGGCAATCAAAGTCAATAAGACGCTAACCAAACTTTATCTGAGTCACAATGGTATTAGTGATTCGGGTGCTACATGTATTGCTAAAGCAATTAAATTCAACAAGACGCTAACCGATTTGAATTTGTCTAACAATGGTATTAGTGATGCCGGTGCTACATCTATTGCTGAGGCAATCAAAGTCAACAAGACGTTAACTGACTTGGATTTCCATGGCAATGGTATTGGTGATGCAGGTGCTACATCTATTGCTGAAGCAATCATATATAGTCAACAAGACGCTC